TATAACATCAAAACTCTGTATGTATAAAGAAAAAAGAAGTATCAGAGCAATAGTTTTGTCTTTACCAACAGTTTCTTGGTAGTAAGTCTGCCAGATATGGGCCCTTTGTCTCCATTCTCCTGTCTAAAGTCGTTGATCACCTTGATGATCTTCTTCTCCAAGTTTGCTTGGATAGAAACCTTTGTTCACAAGTTAAATAGAATTTTTAATCTGCATTTTCAGCATGAAAAAAAAAGAAATAACATTTAATATTAGACACAAGATGTACCTTAAGTATTGACTTGTCTGAGACCCCACCTGTGTCCACCTGGGCTGTGTTAGCTAGACTGTAGGTCTTTGGAGCTGAGGGGAGAATAAACACAGGAATATGCACCTTGTGATCACTCCACTTCTCATCATATCATGAGAGATGAGAACACACACATTCTCAACTGAGTTTCTGTTGTTAATACTCAAATCACAGACCAATACCAAACAGATTTTCACAAATCTGTGGTGCTTCATTTTGAAAAGCTTAACGACTGAAAAAGACAACATATAGACTTAATATATCAGAGGCAAGGATCAGAGAGTAGACATATTAATGGAAAGCACAATGCTGGCCCCTATCAACAGACTGGGAAAGGCCGGATGAATTGCCTCCAGGTCTCTTAACTAGATGTACAGTAGCACACACACATAAACGGAGAATTTAATGCGGATCTGTCAGATGTTACCACCTTTAGACTTGCTCTCCTTGGCTGGCTTGGTGGGTTTGTTGGCGGCTGCCTGTTTCTTCGGTTCCTCCGCCGTCCCGGTGCCAGCCCCACCGGCACCAGCCCTGCTCGCAACCGGCACGGCAATCTGGGCGGCTTGAGCCGCCTGTTTCTTCTTCTTCCCACCCATAAGACCCCGAATATTTTTCTGACTAAGAGTGAACTAGATTCCAATACATCAGCAAAGACTTCGACACGCGAGAAACAACGCTGTCGAGACGGTGTTTCTACCTATTTTGGACCACGCGGCTTCCGTAGCGGAACTGTCGAAACAACTTTGCGGTGCATTGTGGGAAATTTGCCCGTGAGAAAACATGGCGGACCCCTTCGGTGACGGATTGTTCAGCGTGTTTGACGATGAACAACAAAGTTCCACCAGCAAAAAAGCCCCACCGGGGGTTGTTGCGGAAACAGGGTACGTTTGTTTTAAGTGATAAACTAATGTATGTGATGCTGTGGGCTTTATTTATTTTCTTAAGGAAGAAACTTAGCCTCGTGTTAGCTGTTCGCCGAGGCAAGAAGCAGTCTTAACCTGCTAATTTACTAGCTAGTTCACTTCACAGTAATACCACGAATAAAGTGTCCAGTTGTCCGTTTTATATGTTAAATTGAAGTTTTGTTGCACTATAATAATGTGTATGTGCTTTTCGACATGGCAGTTGGAATTTAAACTGGCTGTCTGTTTAAATGTCGTTTACTTTCATTTTTCTGCAGGAAAGTCTTGGGCAAAAACGGCTGTGACAAAGATGGATCTCCACCTGTTCGGGGCAAAAGGGAGGCAGACGGTGACGGAGGGGATGAGATGGTTTTTGGGAAGAAACCTAAACACGAGACAGCCTCAGCTAGTGACCTAAAGTATGTAAAGCTACAGATGTTAGGACGCTAAATACAAACCTCAGAACAAAATAGTATACAGCTTCATGCTTCTGTAGCACTGCCTTTCAATGCAAAACATATTTATTGAACAATTTTTAGAGTTTCTAATAGAACTGTCATAGCTTTGTTAGTATTTGTTCGAGTATGTAGTCATCACGGAAGAGTCTTCAGCAACAAATGATTTTGAATGATGTAACATTAAAGAGATAATGCTAGTTTATATTGTTTTGACTTTCTAAGTGATGTGGATGTAATTGAATTGGTGTGTTGGTTTTTACTTCAGTCTTTCAGAATTTATGCCTCAGGTGAAGGTGGAGCAGGTGGAAACGGTTGAAGGATGCTCACATGAGGTGAGCTGACTGATGTTTTTATGTCACTTTTCTTCTTTTAGTAGTCGCTTGTGATTTGAAACGCCAGGATTTTTTATTCTGTCTTCACCCAACAGGTTGCACTTCCCGAAGATGAGGACTATAAACCACTGAAACCAAGAGTGGGAAAAGCAGCTAAGGTAAAATTCAAAGATGATATGAACCCTTTCTCTTGTGGAGTTATTTAGTTAATTCAGTTTTAAAGCATTTGATTCTAATTTAGGCTCTAATATTTCACAGGGGGTATTGTAGCATTTCTAAAATGAATTGTTTGTCCTTTCATTAACCTGGCATATGCCTGATTTTATTTTATTTTTTCAGGAGTACCCTTTTGTACTCGATCCTTTCCAGCGTGAGGCCATCTTATGCATCGATAACAACCAGTCGGTTCTTGTGTCTGCACACACCTCTGCTGGAAAGACTGTTTGTGCTGAGTGAGTACAACCGATACGCAGAGCTGCTTAAGGAATCACCTCCACTTTTGTGCCAGAAAGTGTGGATGTCAGAAAGTCATTCTTAATAACAACAAGAGAAGAAAAAACACATTCTTTGGTACTTACATTAGAATAGACCTTCGTAACAACCATAGTTATTTCATGAGTGAAATGGATAACTGTCACAAAGCTCTGTGGTGCAAGAATATACACAAAAAGAACTAATACAAGAAAATATGTGCTGATGTAAAATGTTGTGAACATTATTTAAGTTATATATGCAACCTATGAGTTTGGGGAAAAGTATGAGAATTATAAGGGAATTGGGAGTATGATTGCTACTGCTAAGATTATCTGTTGTTTTCATCCAGACTCATCCTACGTTTCTAGACAGATTTGGAACATTTGAAAGGGAAATTTTCCTTTTTAAATTATCTATAATATATATATATATATATATAAATCATATTGAGATTTTTTAATATTCTAAGATCTCACAACTCCAGAGTTTGGTTGGGAGCGAATCTTAATTATATCCAAACAAAAATCTGCAGCTATCGTTTAGGGAAATCTCATCTTCCACGTCCTTTATTCTGCCTCTGATAATGTGAGCCGGTTACTCCTGCTGCAGATATGCCATCGCACTGGCTCTCAGAGAGAAGCAGAGGGTCATCTTCACCAGCCCCATCAAGGCCCTGTCCAACCAGAAGTACAGAGAGATGTACGAGGAGTTCCAGGACGTGGGCCTGATGACCGGCGACGTCACCATCAACCCCACCGCCTCCTGCCTCGTCATGACAACCGAGGTTGGAGTCCCTCTTGTCTGGGCGGGAGGCAGCGTCAAACATTTTGAATCTCAGCTTTACTGGAAGCGGTTTGTTCTCCCACAGATCCTGAGGAGCATGCTGTACCGAGGGTCGGAGATCATGAGGGAAGTGGCATGGGTCGTTTTTGATGAGATCCATTATATGAGAGATGCAGGTGGGTTTGATAACGATGAGAAAAAACACAGGTTGTTTGGATCTCTGTCCTACATTGTGAAATCTCAAAATGTAAAGCTTCATGCAGCACCTGAAAACACGTTGTGAAAATAGGCCTTTTCAACAAATCCTAAATTATTTCCTGAGTTTGTTCTGATGTATTCTCCTCTGCTTTAAGCACAGAAAGGCAGGAACCAGTACTGATGCAACAACTCTAAAAATACAGATCAAAAAGTAGCAAAAATAGTTATATTTTGCTTTATTTTTGCCAAAAAAAAGTCCCTTTGAATGGAAGGGTGAAGTCGTGCAGGTGTACAAAATGTCTGAAAAGCTCCTGCATTTGGCGTCGGGATAACGAGAGCTGCTGCTTTGTGTTTCAGAGCGTGGCGTAGTCTGGGAGGAGACCATTATCCTCCTTCCTGACAACGTGCATTACGTCTTCCTGTCTGCCACCATCCCGAACGCCAAACAGTTTGCCGAGTGGATCTGCCACCTGCACAAACAGGTGGGACGCTGTCGGGGCTTCAGTAGCTGATCCACTTCCCTCAATCAGGAACTCAGCCTGATATTTCTAAAATGTATCTGTTTCATTTGCATGTGTTTAAACAAAGCTTGCCCTCTGTTCTTTCAGCCCTGCCATGTGGTCTACACAGAGTACCGCCCCACTCCTCTGCAACACTACGTCTTTCCAGCAGGGGGCGACGGACTCCACCTGGTGGTTGATGAGAACGTAAGGCCCACAGTCCTGCGTGTTTTCACCTGTTTCAGCGCGTTCTTCTGCCCCCCGCAGAGCTTAAAGAGCCGACCCATTCATCAGAATCAGAATCAGACATACTTTGATAATACCGGACCGCGATGGGACCTCTGAATAAATGTGTGCTCTTCCTCAGGGGGACTTCAGAGAAGACAATTTCAACACAGCCATGCAGGTGCTGAGAGACACTGGGGATTCTGGAGGCGGCAGCGGGTCTGGGAAGTGGGACCCAAGACGCAGGGGGGGCACTAAAGGTCTGTATTTAAAGCAAAAAAATTGTTCGGTGAGTTTAAAACTAAATAATGCACACATCATAATTATGTTCGTATCCTCTCTCAGGCCCATCGAGTGTTTTCAAGATAGTGAAGATGATCATGGAGAGGAACTTCCAGCCCGTTATCATTTTCAGCTTCAGTAAGAAGGAGTGTGAGGCCTACGCCCTCCAGGTGGCCAAGCTGGACTTCAACAGGGGTATGAGCATTCGTCACACACAATCACACAGTGCTTAAGCTAGTTTGACACGTCCTGGTCCAGGTGACGGCCATTTCTCTGCCTCCTCCAACAACTCAGTGATGGGAAGTCTGGCTTTAAGTTTTGTTGGGTCCAGCCTTTAACGGTGCCTCCCGGCTGTGTTAGTTAACCTTTTAAAGCTTCACTTTCAGATGGCTTTCATGAGATTAACATGTTTTTAAAAAGGTCCAGTTTTGGTCTGACAAAATAGTTGTTTTCCCCCAAAATGATGCGAAGAAGTGCTGAAATGTTGTGATCATTCTCTGTTGGTGCTGTCAATCTGTGACCAACCAGCTGTTTCTGTATAATGACTTAAATGAGCCAGGTTTATTTGTAATGAGGGCTCCAGTCAGGCGTCCTTTCTGAAGAGTTAAATGAAGGCAGATTGTAGCAGATAAGAAGAATCTTTTCTGTCACAGCTAAGTGAGGTTTCTGACTATTTTACCAGTTATTGTGACCTTTTTAACAAGGAATTGTTGGATTTTTTTCAGTTAGATATCGAATGCATTGTTGCATTTATGTTCATCCAGCAAACTAAGATCTTCTAAAGTCATAAAATAAGTGCTTTACACTTTATCTCTCAGCCTCGTCTGCTTTAAGAAGTTTGATCGATTGTTGGCGATCTTAAATGTCCGATCAAACCTTTTTGAGTCAAATTGGAGACGTTGGCTCTGGGAGTTGAAATGAGAAAATCAGAAGATGTTAGATTGTTGGCGAGCTGTTTGCCCCCCCCCTTCCCTGAACGAGTGCCATGAATGCGGCATATTGTCCCTGCACAGCCGGACCTTTTGTCCCGCTCTCTGGATGAGCAGAGGAGTTGCTTCATGAAGACAAATTCAGCTTGGCTCGCGGCCACTTGCTTCAGCCTGATTAAGAATCGACCTCCTTCTTTGTGTTGGATTTGTTCTCCCTGAATTGTGACATTATGAATGAGGTGTTTAATGCTGAGCTCCTCCAGCACTGGGGGGGTTTAGGGGGGGTATTTCATTCTGCGAGGGCTGCCAGTTCTTATCACACCTAGAAACAAAACAAATGTGTCCTGATGGAGGGGGAGTCTGCCCTTTGGTGCCGTTGCTTTGGCTGCAGGGATCCTGCACAGATGTTTTTGCTGCATCTGGCCGGGCCTCAGGTAGACGGCCTCCAAATCCGTCTCTTCCAGCCAAGATGAAATATTTCAGAAGGCGATAGTCACACAGCTGTCAGGTAGCTGCTCCTCAGAGGGAGGTGATCGCCTTTCTTTTGTCTCGTGTTACCTTTAGCTCACAGTTGTGACGCAGCTGAAGAATAGTTGTGACGTTTCTCCGCAGAGCTGCTGGAAAAACAAGTATTTGGTTCTCTGCTGCTGCAAATGATTTATTTATTTTTATTCTTTTACTTCTATTCTCGATGGCTTTGTAGAGTGGAGTGATTAATGTGGAGCCACAGGCCAAGTCGCTCTTTATTCGTTACTAAAAGGATTCCATGAAGAGACTGCAACTCTAAAATCGCCATGCATTAAAGAGGTTTTGCGAATGTCCTTCTCCTTGATTTAGAAATGTTCTCTTCATGGCTTAAAAAGGTCAAAGGTCACACACTTATTTTCCCTTCAAGCTTTTACGCTTGTTTTTTTTCCCCAAGCTCTTACAAAGTGCATTCATGTGCTCTTTTATAATCACGTTTCAATGGACTTTGCATCCATCATGACATTGATTAGATCTCAAGCCATTTAGATTAAGCCAATGCTGATTTTTACAACCCTGTTGTTTAGTCCCTGGCTCAGGTGGAGCAGTTTGAAACTGGCGGTCTGGTTCTCAGTGATCGGGGCTCAGTTAAACAACATTTACATTTTTAGATATTTTACAGATATGTTTGAATCATATTTCTGGAAATCAGATCAAATCAAATTAATGTCTGCATGGGGGTACCCCCATCCTGTAACTCCCCACCCTTTGTTCCCCCGTAAAAACATTTAGAAATGGTCCAAAATTGTAACGGTGGAGGAGGTATGAAAGCGTTTGTGCTGGCATTGTGAAAACGGAGCCGCCATCTGAAGGAATGCGCGTTTGTTCCAGATGATGAGAAACGTCTGGTGGAAGAAGTGTTCAACAACGCCGTGGACTGTCTGTCAGATGAGGACAAGAAGCTGCCTCAGGTAAGCCGGACCACCACGTCCCACATGTGCTCTCCCACTGCCCTCCTGCCAACACTTGAGAAGACCTCCCACTCACCTCCACTCCCCTCTGTTCAGACTACAGTTACTCAAACAGACTGCTGAGTTTATGGGATAAAAAGCGGCCATGTTTCGGTTTTAGCTGTTAGCATGTCAGCACAAGCACTGATGAGGCCGTTCAAACTAACCCTAACCCATTCCCTGCCTCTGTGGTTCTCACGGCTGTGTTCAAAGCCCCTCTGGTCCAATGGTTCAACTTTTAAGGCTCTCTGGGTTCTTGCAGGTGGAACATGTGCTGCCCCTGTTGAAGAGGGGGATAGGCATCCATCACGGAGGCCTGCTGCCCATCCTGAAGGAGACCATAGAGATTCTTTTCTCTGAAGGCCTGATTAAGGTACCTCCTCTACGCACACAGACAGAGAAAACCTGATCCCTCTCGGCAGGACTGTCAGTGGTTTATTCATTAATGAACTGAACTGGAACGTGGCCAATTCTGCCACGTAAAAGGTTTGCTGGCTTTCAAAGGCCACACTTGAAAGAAATTTATGTAGCTTACAGAAATCAGTTTTAAAGAATAACTCAAACGTTTGGACAGCTTGGTGGTTGCATTGAACTGAAGTCTTTATTAAGATGAGGTTATTGTAATGCTTTCCGTTGTCATTCCAGGCCTTGTTTGCCACAGAGACGTTCGCCATGGGCATCAACATGCCGGCTCGGACGGTTCTGTTCACCAGCGCCCGCAAGTATGACGGAAAGAGCCACCGCTTTGTAAGAGCTCAGCCACACTTCCTTCATTTTTGCAAGTTCCTTTGTCGAGAGGAAGTTTACTGGATTCGTTCCGCCAATGCTATTGTTGTTAATATCGTAATAGTTATGATATAATTATTGTGGATTTGTTCGGCACACGATATCATTGTGCTTCAGTTTGTGTGGACGGCCTCTTGCATAAGCAGGGAGATGGGGGTAATGTTCTCCAGGAGACTCTGGAAGAGGGAGAGCTATGTGTTCCTTCTCAGAGGTCGACTCAAAGCCCGGGTCCCATAACGGGCTCGGGGCTGCGTCTGAAGCCTTTTTAAGGCCTTCGGCTCGCACGGCCACATAAACAGCCACGTATTGTTTATAAGAGCCGGGGCCCGCCGTCACACAGCCCGGCTGGAGGAGAAGCAGAGAGAAACTTCTCTCCAAGAAGCTCATCAGGAACATCTGGGGCCGCTGACGGCGCCAAAGCTCCACGCAGGCAAAGCGGCTTTCTCTGAAAACCTCCAGATCTGATCACGTGGCTCAGCTGAAATGAAGATGGGATCATTTCAGCTCAAAATAACCTTCCGTACTTCTCTTTGGTTAAAAAAAAAGAAAGCATTGAGTTCTTAGGTTACCATCAGAGCTACGAGAATCGTCTTTTTCAAGCAAATACAATTTATTCTTCTGTGCAAAGACAAATTCTTTAACTTTCTTTCTGGTATTTTTCGTCTTTTCTGGCTGTCTAGATTACATCAGGTGAGTACATCCAGATGTCTGGACGTGCCGGGAGGAGAGGAATGGACGACAGGGGGATTGTTATTTTCATGGTGGATGAGAAAATGAGTCCAGCTGTGGGCAAACAGCTGCTGAAGGTAACTCCTGCAAAGCCTCGGGCCCGCATCTGAAAAGATTTGAAGTTTTGTCCCTGCTGTCCCGCTCAGATCCTTTCATTTGACACATTTGTAGCCACGCAGCCATAAATACACTTCAGCTTCTGAAAGCTTGTTGTCAGTCTTCCACACAAGCTGTTACAAATGAGAACTGGCTTGTGACAAAATCTCCCAGAGTGTTTTACTTTATACTTTATTTTTTGTCTACAGAAGGGAAACACTTAGCCAATACCTACTGAACATTTTTTTTTGTTTTTTTGTCTGTTTCAGGGATCTGCAGACCCTTTGAACAGCGCCTTCCACCTGACCTACAACATGGTCCTGAACCTGTTGCGTGTGGAGGAAATCAACCCCGAGTACATGCTGGAGAAGTCCTTCTATCAGTTCCAGCACTACAGAGCTCTGCCCGGCGTCGTGGAGAGTAAGCCAACACCCCCCCCCTGACCGGTTCCCAGCCGGGTGGAACGACCCAATCACACCTCCTGCCTCTTTCCCTGCAGAAATAAAGAAGCTGGAGGAGCAGTACCACACCATCGAGATCCCCAACGAAGAGAGCGTGGTGACCTATTTTAAGATCAGGCAGCAGCTGGCCAAACTGGGCAAAGAGATCCAGGAGTTCATCCACAAACCCAAATACTGCCTCCCCTTCCT